TGTCGTGTTATTTTCGGACGGGTTCGGGTGGACTGGGAAAAATATCGGAATATTCGGTCGGACTTCGACCTTTATAGTGTTCCCACACTCGGTGACGGGTTTTAGGTTTTGGCAAACGTCTTTTGACCACTATAGAACTTTGAATAAACTCTGTTTTAATAAGCAAATAGGAGTCGTTTAGGTCTAAAATGGTGAACAAAAGTCTGGAATACCGGATGATTTACTTTAGATATTTTAGCAATCACGATAATCAGGGGAAGTTCGCTACTTCTCGGGAGACCTCAACCGAGTAAATTTAAACTATGGTTTTAAAGGATTCACTCGAAAATCAATGGATAAAGTCTCGTATACGTAATAAATAAGAAATCTGGCAACTCTTACCGTCTGGAATAAGCAACTGGTGGGGTTTGGGGATGTTTTTTTTTTTAATTGTAACTATTTTTCAATTTCAACATTAGTAAAATGATAAAAAATTAACCAATTTACGATTTACAGGGAGCAAATGTTTTGGAAATATTTTTTCTTCACAACAAATACCCATCTTCAAACAGACCTGGTAGTTTTGTAACTTTTTGACCCTCTTTGTGAATTGTGGTAGCGTATTCCGATTGGTACCAGTTGCCAGTTCATGATCTTGACGGCTGAAATATCCACAGTATCTCGGTCTGTTCGACCAAGAAGGCCTGAAAATGTTGTATCGTTGTCAAAAATTTTGGCACTTAACCAGTTTAGAGATTTTAATGATCTAGTGTCCCTCAGCAGTTTTGTATTTACCATTTATGGAAGCTGGGTTTGTACTTTTGAGGTTACTGAAGCAATTCATTCAAGTATGGTTCATTTGTTGTATTTTTGTTGTTGAAGTGTTTTAATTTGTTCTTTGTCTGTGTATGAATGTTGATGCGAAACATGTTTAATAAAAAGGGAATTTTAAGTGAGTAGATGTGCAGATTGATGTTAGCGCTTTGGGGTGAAATTAGTGTGAATTGAAGTCTGGTGGATCGGCGAGGTCTCGTTTAGTTTTCGTGGGAGTCGTTTTACTTGTTCACCTTCGCTAACGAACGTGCAATTTTTCATTACGTGCCTGGATCAGGAAGAAAACGTGATCAGATTTTAGGCGAGCCGATATTCAGCCGGACAGGGCTGTGGGCTTGCGGTGCAGGGCCTAGTCATCATTTAGCCCCCTTCAGCCCATTATAATTTTTAAGCTCCAATCTCCACCATTATACATTTAGCTTTAGTTGAGATCGCAATTTTTACCGCGACGGCACGTCTTAGCGGGCTCAGTGCCTGGCAAATGCCTAAATCAACACGAAAAATAAGTTATTCAAATTAAAAATGTAATTTCAGCGTGCAGCGAAGTTATTACATTTTAATCCTCGACCCCTGATACGGCGTCTAAATGCGAGACTGTTAAAAATATTAAGCAACCGGAACAAATCGACGGCCGCGAACCGGAATGCTTTCTGAATACATTAGGCGATCAACGAAAGAGTTGGCGGATCCGAGTTGGAAGAATTACACAACCATTATACGAGGATTAAAGCGAAATCACGAGCGCGTCCTCTCGTCCTTAGCTCCGGCATTGTCTCGGACCGAGTCGTTTGGAAAAACGAATAAATATTCCCGAGATACCAAGATACTTCTGCCATGCCGACTAATTCCACGCGATGTGCCATAAGACTATTAAAACTCTAAACGCAATGCGAGCCGAGCTTTCATTATTTGTAATCTAACGGGACTTATGGAAAAAGTTTCCATTTATTTTTAATTCCTTATATTCCACCCTTTTATTGAAAGCCTAAGAATACGCCTTACCTTAGACCCTACGTAAACCTCGATACAACGAATTTATATCTTTTTAAGTGCGCGACACTGCGCAAATTTAAAACAGCCAAATTACTTCTTTCACCCTAAATTTCACACCAGATCCCAACAATCCCCTCGCGCTACTCGATTCCTGCTCAACGATAACGCTACTTCATACATCTGCGCTATAATTAATTCACGCCCCTATACACTGAATATCTCACAAACCTTAACCCTTTGATATCTCACAGCAGTCCCAATATGCGCTTTACAAAAATACTAATACCCAACATTTTAAACCATTAAAAAAATTACTAATATAAACATAATAATTACGTTTGTTGTACGTTAGTGGTTAACACTGATGTTTTGAAAACTGATTTATTGACCTTTTCACTATAGCCCTATGAATGATACTCCGACATTGATATTTTTAGCAGATCATTTTGAATTAGATCGACAATTCAACGTTAAAAACTGAATGACTAGCAGATGTTGGTCGCAAAACATCCCAGCAGCTCTTGGTCACATCACATCTATAGCTGTAGCAAATCTACTCATTAAATACAACCTCCTGGCAGTAGTAAGTTTCTTTTTTTTCATTAATCTTTTGCTGCGATGCTGTGACTAGCACTTCCAGGTTTTTGAAGGAGTTTATTTCATTTTTTTCAGCTTTATTCTCGTAAAAGTCTGCAGGAAAGAGTAATAAATTTCGATACTTTAAAAAAGCACCTTTGAATTGCTAGAGTCTCCCCAATTTCAAGAGATAATTACAAACATTTTCAGGATTCACATTTTTTAGAGAATAAAAAATTCTCTCATTAATAATTCAGCTTCGCGGGGATATTAACGAGTAATTTTGAATAACACTTAAACGTGCTCGCTGCGCTCGCATTCTTAATGTTATTTTCTGAATTAACGAATCGTCGGTATGGCTACTTAGTTTGTTTTATTATAATAATTCTATAGACGCTAAATTATTCTGCAAAAATCAACTTCGTCGAGTCCCCTTTTTTTTCTTAGAGTGTTCATTTCCCAAAATTAATCTCATCTTGACAGGTACTAGTACCACCCACTCGCCCTTTATTTTCTTAAAGGAAATGTCATTTGCCAAAATCAATCTATCCTAGGAAGTGCTAGCACCAGATTTGTTCAAACTGGCAGTGTCGACAAAGAGAAATCTCCTGGAAGACCTTCAGTATCTGAGGAAGTTGTTGGTAATTTGAGACGACTTGAGCAGAATCCGTAAACAACTTTGGCAGTCAGGAACAGTGGGTCCAAAGTATGACGAGAGGATGTTACAGAACATTTTTGAAATTAAAAAGTGTGAACATGTGTCTTGAACAAAAATAAATTTGTTTAATGAATTAATTTTGTTTTTTAATAAGATAGGAAGTTTTTACCAGTTATACAAATACGTGTGGTATTTGTCATGAGTCCTTGGGCATTTAGTAAAGTCTAGAACTGAAAGGCGGCACATTTCCATGACCTACTTCGACACTATCATTATTTACAACTTATCTATTTCTTAGTAACTCGGATTTCCACGACTAATTACAGGGTGATTAGGTACAAAATGATTCTTAATTGTTTAACCAACATTTTAGAAGTAGATTGTTCAACGTAGATGTTTTTCGTACGAGTTTATCTTGATTGTGTAATAGTGCCCCTGATGATGTTAATCTTGTTAACAAAACGCGTTGATTTTTGTTCAAATTTTGGTGTTTGTTTGGTTTCTGGTGACGTTGGCGTTTTGACAAGACTGGTGTTTGAATAGACGTTTCACTCAGTCGTCGCTGTTAAAGCAAACAGAAAACGTGAGTCAGACTTAAAACACTCAAACATTTCAATTAGGATTTTTAAACGTTTTTGTTCCGCAATATTCACGAATCAGCGGTTGAAGAGAAACTGGAAAAGTGTGGGAGGGTACAAATCTGCAGAGAAAAGTAATGTTTATCAAACACGTTCAAGCATAAAAATAAGGTAAATTCAGTGGCAGATCTTGACTTCCCGGGACCCTGCTGCTTATCCCCAATTGGAGGCCCTCTGGCAGTTCTGCATAATTTTAAAACAAATAAAGTTCAAGATAAATATAACTTTACTCAAAGCTAATTCTTAGATACATAGGTACATAATTATTTGTAAACACAACCAAAATGCAAAACAGTACTTCAAACAAATGTGTTCTTGTGTTTCCGTTGTAAAACTTACTTTTTGGTTCTTATTTTACAGTGATGCTCATTTTGTAACTATTGCGGTAAATGAAGTCGTTTTTCACACTGCGAGAAATAATGTCAAACTTAACAAAAGAATTAACATACCAGCTTTTAGGTGGCATCATTCATGGTTTGCTTTATTTCTAAGTGAATTTAAATAATTCATTTGGAAATAAACGATCTGTTTTAAACGTAACTCCACGCCTCGACAGTATTCGCAGAAGCGGAAATGCGATGCTGCGCCGCGTCGATGAACGCCTGCCGGATTTTAATTACTTTTATAGACACCACACATTTTATGCATGGTATGTGGTAAGTTGATTGGAATTAAGTCATTTCGATTATGATTTCTTTATGTAAATTTAGAAGCTTAACGCAAAGTAGGTTGTTTGTAACTTGTGCAAAATTACTCGATGCGACGGCCACCTCGACTTTATGGTTTCGACTAGGACATTTCATATTATACGCCTATAGGTTGGCGGATTCCAGAACAACCTCGAAGAGGAACGCGTAGCTGTTTAAATAGGGACCACAGTGAACTAAATATAAGATTAAGAAAATATAATAAACAAGTAGTAAAACTATATATGTAGCTAAATTAGTGGAATAGTGAAAAGAATGATGAAACATTTTTTTTAATTCTTGACAGCAATTTAAGAATTTTGTGGATTTCTAGACGTTTTAGCTTTGCATTATTCATAAAAGGAGTACTTGAAGAGCGTGGGAGGCTGTAAATTTACACAGAGAAGTAATGTTTTTGAAACACAGTGAAGCATTAAAAATGAGGTAAATTATGAAGTGTTATTAATTAATTCGGGTTAAAATGCATGAGCCAAACAGAAAAGTTGACGTTAATTAGAAGTGAATTTAAACGGCGGCAAATTGACAAAAAGCTGAAAATAATTGAATAATCGAAGTAACTTTCTTACGTCTTGAGCTGCATGATAAAGCGAGCGCTTGCTGATTGACCACGATGTTGATGAATGAATAGGTCCTAAACTAGCAAACTACTTATTGCGTTAGTGTGTTAAAATAGTGTTGTTCGTTAGCATTTGAGTGTCCTATAAACAACAAAATGGATTGCGAAATTTTTCAAAAATAATATAACAAACACTTAGAAAAGACGTGCAAAGTTCTTGTGCATGTTTCTTGATAAGTCTGCAATTAATGGAAAAGTATTGTGACTACGTAAGGTAAGAAATAAATCAAATAAATTGTATGAATTGTTTTTATTATTGTAGATGCGACTTAACGCATGAACGTCATAATGTGATTGGTCCTTACTTTCCGAAACGTCTGATTGAGTCTTTTTTGTAAATCAAGTGACTTAATAATGGAAACAAACCATGTGTCAAACAAACACAAAACTAAGTGTCTTGATCAAAATAGCTTTAAAACTGTTACAACACTGACAGAAGACACAACTTGTGGTATTTGGTTTCTAAAAGGGCACTGGATTCAGCACTTCGCCAATAAAAAAGCCTACGTCTTCCTTTACGGGTTGTTAGGTTGTGTGTTTTCAGCAGCTTATGCTTATTTCAATGGAACTATCACAACACTTGAAAAAAGATTCAAAATACCCAGCAGAACTACTGGTAAGTGAGAAATATCTCTAATTATTTCGTGTTCGTGTTTTGACTTTGCTGTTGCAATACTTACTTTTATCTCTCTGTGAGAAAACACAAGGCAAACCGCAATAAAGTCGACTGTTAGTTTTCCCACACTAAAATTTAATGTACTTAGTGTTTCAATTGCAATCGCACGTTCCCCGTGGGAGGTAATTCTGATTAGCGCTCTTTACACTTTTTGCGTAAACGTCAAAAGTAACGTTGTCGAACGACAACCAAACGTTTTATTAAAATCTTCTTAGTGTGTTTACTCACACCAAGAACTAACCGCTAATTCCATTATGCAGAGAGACGTTCTGCTTTTCCTGTATCGTCGCAAAATATTGCCACTGTCTATCGAAATAAGTTTTGTCGCGATTGCGCTCACATTCATTCATTCGTTTTTGTCTTATAGGTATAATTACTGTAGGAAATGACTTAAGTCAATTATTTGTGTCCGTAATTCTGAGTTACTACGCCGGAAGAGGCCATAGACCGCGTTGGATGGCGCTTGGAATGTATACGGTGGTTCTTTTCTGTTTATTAACAGCTTTACCACACTTTCTTTATGGCGCTGGATCTGATGCTCTATCGCTTACTGTCGAACATCGAATAAACGATCATAATGCTACTATTGAAGCTCTTGAACGGGAACGAAAGAAAGCGTTATGCCATCACAAAAATTCGACTGCATCTGAATGCGAAATAGAGGGAGGAAATTATTCCCCCCAATTAATACTGTTCATAGCACAGTTTATATCTGGAATTGGAGGATCGCTGTACTACACGCTGGGGGTGTCGTATATGGATGACAACATCAAGAAATCGAAAACGCCAGCTCTTTTCAGTAAGACAATTTCTATCTTTGTATCCTATATTGGAATTGAAAAAAAAGTTGCGCCAAAATGTACAATAGTTCCTAGAGAACACAGAGAAACTTAAGAATGTTTGCTTACATTTACATGAAAACGACGGAAATCCGTAGTAATTAAACAACACTGGTAGGCAATTTGTTGTACAACACACATTACACAATGTTTTTTACTGGGTGATCAAGATAGGTTATGTTTTATCCGACTTACGTTAAAGTTATGATCATTGGCACAATAACAACGTAATGTGTGGTACTAAAACCTTAAATCTTTTGTGATAAATATAGTATCTTCACTTTTTTAGTTGAGGCGGCGTATGTCAAAGACGTTATTCAGTGGTTTGTACGTCACTGTTGACTATAGACTTACATTTATGATTAGAACGACCGAATAACCGCCTGTAAATGTTTTATAATAGCCGCCACGTTCTCCTGAATTAGAACGCATTGATTATGCGTTGCTCTTGAACTTTTCGATTTGAAGTGTATTTCATGTTTTTTAGGTTTTTCCTATTTTATCCGCATGTTGGGACCTGCCATAGGTTACGGTTTGGCTTCTTTTTGCTTAAAATTATATATATCACCCACTTTAACACCAACTATCGACAACAACGATCCTAGATGGTTGGGCGCTTGGTGGTTAGGATGGATAATTTTGGCTATAATTCTGTTCGTGTTTGCGTCTTTGTTGGCGCTTTTTCCGAAAACCCTTCCAAGAGCGGCTGTGAGGAAAGAGATGTTGAAAAAGCAAAGTTGTGCAGTGTTTGAAGCAGAACCAGAACTACCAACGTCTTTCAAAGGTTTGTATTTAGGTCTGTTGAAATTTTGCTATACTTTTTTTCTAGATATGGTGGTTACTTTTAAACGTTTGATCTCAAATCCCACTCTAATGTTAAATAACTTTGCGGCTATATTCTATTTTTTGGGGTATATGCCATACTGGATATTTTTACCAAAGTATATTGAGACACAATATCGTCAATCAGCATCTGCTTCTAGTTTGATAACTGGAAGTGCTGGACTTGTGTTTTCTGCCATTGGAATTCTGTTGTCGGGACTAATTATTTCTAAGTACAAGCCACGTGCACGATATTTAGCGGCTTGGAACGTTATTGTTGGAGCGATTTCAGTTCTTGGTATTGTTTCATATGCCTATTTAGGATGTGCTGAAAATGATAACAGAGCTCCTTTGCTGCCAAACGGAGAGTAAGTAAACAACAATATGTTCTGATTTAAGATTCTATTAATTAATTACTGTGTTATCCCAGAACTGTTCTCAATTACTTTTCAGAAGTAAAAGCGACGAAAATAATCAGTGTAATGGTTGCAATACATTTATTAAAGTAAATATGAAATTCTATGAACATATCAACTGAGTCAAACAAGTAGTACAAATAAATCTCTTAAGTATACTAGACTAGCTTTAATAAATGTGCACACAATAAGTTCCCAATTAGCTGAATTTTCACCGCATTGATAACGGAGTCCATTTGTTTTAGATTAAATCCGGTGACTGAATGTAATTCTCACTGCTTTTGTGATTACGTGAAATACAATCCTGTCTGTTCGCAAGATGGAACGACAACTTTTATATCGGCATGTCACGCTGGTTGCAAACATTCAAAGAAAATCAATGGAACGGATGTCTTTTCCGCCTGTTCTTGCATTTCAACGAATAACACGCTGTATTTCGAGCGTCTGATCGCTTCAAACAATACCAAAAACGACAAAGTCGTGGTAGGAACGTCCCTGCACGAAGGTGGTTTTGCCACACCCGGAAACTGTTCAGTCGATTGTTTATCCAAGTTCTACGTTTTCTTAATCGTCGTTTGTATACTCAAATTCAGTGGGGCAACTGGGAGAGCTTCGAATTTTCTAGTGACAGTAAGGTGATTATAACGTAATTTATGAAAAAGAAAAGGGTTTTGTACTTTTTAACGATTTATTGTAAAACTAACAGATCTAACGTCGTGAAATTAAATATGCAGGTGTGTGGAAGAAAAGGATAAACCTGTGGCAATGGGTTTCGGTCTGATGCTAATGAGTCTTTGCGCTTTCGTTCCTTCGCCCATCCTCTTCGGAATAATCTTAGGTTAGACAAATAATAGAGAGCGATATAGTCCGTTGTCACTTGAATTCTTTCCAGATAAGGCCTGTCTGGTGTGGGGAAAGACTTGTACCGGAAATGGAAACTGTTGGTTATATAATGGAAAAACCTTAAGATACACAATGAATTTCACCGCGGCGACGTTCGTCTTGATTGGAACTCTTTTCGATGCGGGTGTCTGGTTTTTCGTAAAAGGATTAAAAATATTTGACGAAGAAATTGAACTCGAACTAGAGGATTTAGCCAGCTAACAAATGAATCATTGTAATTTCTTGAGTCTTTTGGAGTAAGTAGTCTTGTAAATAAATACTGGTTGTATATATCCTAATTATAAATCACTTTCTATTACTCGACTGCGTTGTACCCGTACGTCATCCAAATGCGACGATGAGTCAATAGAATCATGATCATCTCCCACATTTTCCATTTCTAGCAGCGAGTCGGAGATTGAGTGTGCAGAGCCCGACTTCTGCAAACGTCCTTGATCAACCTCATCGCGACTTTGGTCACTCATCAATCGATTTCTTTCATCGGGTGGGGTTTGCATTTCTCTTAACTCAACAGGAGGATTTTCATCGTCTTCATCTTCTTCATCGTCGTTGCCTCGGTCGACAACAGGATACAGTTTTAGAAAAATCAACACAACGCAAGCTAGTAGCAGAGACAAAACCATAAACCCAATAGTACATAGGGATAGAAACGTTGCAAAATCTTTAGAATAGAGTCTACATACTGATCTGTTCCTTTTGGGGTAGACGCAATAGTGCTCTAAAACGAATCAGTGATTATAGTGATGTGAATAGTGAAAGACGTACCTGCGACGGTTCCATAGATCGCTCTAACAGGTAAGTATGTAATTAGAGCTATGAAAGTAGCTTCAAGTCCTAACGCTGTTGCCTTGTCTTTTGATAAGATGCATCTCATGTTGATGATCAAGTTTGTTACAAGAGTGGACGCTAATAAAGCGGTGGTGATGACACGGTTAACTTGTGATAACGCATAAAACAAAACACATGTTGTTTCGTTGCAAGGACCATCTGCTGCCTGTTTGTTATGGTTGCTATGACACTTGATGTAGGTCTAAAATTTGGTCTTTAATATGTAGACAAACAGAAGTGAGTTCCCATAAAACCATCAAATTTATCTATAATTTGAGGTTTTATGGTAACCTACTTGTGTGAAAACTTACTTTTCTGGAATTAACTGTGTTAACTTCCATGCAACCGGCGAAACATGGTGAATAATAAGTTTTCTCGTTCACACATACAGGTTGGAATTCTCCATCAGTACAGTGACAGTCCTTGTTAATATTATTCCTTTCGAACGTATGGTCGTACTTGGTCTTAGGTTCACATCTCAAAAAAGCAGTACTACCGAAAAATATAATCACAAGTATTATAGCAACTATATTCCACTTGACCAGAGACTGTAAATGCGGTTTCGTTTTCGCAGTCAGAAACCCAGCAGCAACTATGGAAATGGCCACCAAAGGCTGCTTCAAGATATTCGTCGTAAACTGAGTGTACGACGTGTCGTTGTCATACGCGATTTGAAACCGCGCTTGGTTAAAATACTTTTCGAAAATGTTAAAATTGACAAGGCCTGATTGCATGAACACCGCACAAAATATGTTCACCATTAGGATCTTATTTTTGAGTAGGCGGAACAGTGTTTTGAAAAATCCATCCACTTTGGGTTGTTTTTGGGGACGCATTGCATGACCGGAAGCTAGGTCGACGAGGGAAGCTGAGAATGCGCGGACTAACGTTGAAGGCATGCTTTTTGGAAACATTGCGATTAGTGCCCCGGAAATGAACACGGCGGATGCTATACACAGCCATACTGAAAAAACAAAGCGTCAGATGGGTCAGACAGTTAGTTGTTTTTACCTGGGGACGCAAAAATTGAGTTCGTTTTGACGTAAGCGGGTATCCAGGAGAAGTATAGGCCTGCTTGTTTTCCTAGTTCTCTAAAGGCTAGTGCGATACCTGTTCAAAATAGATGTTAGTGTAATTTATAACGGTGGGACCAAACTGTCAAAGACACTATTTTTAAGGTCTATAGAATGGTATGTATACAAAGGAGTCTAGATTCATACCTATATAGCCGGCGCTAGTTTTCGCAGATGAGTTGTCATCCAAATATGTCATACCGTGCGATATAAAGGAAATGGATGCCATGGCAAACAATATCTGATATACGATCAAAACTGTCAATGCTATGTAATTTAGCTCAGTATCTTTTGGTGTAGTAGATGAAATATGAGGGACGCATAAATTGAGGTCTAAAATTTTTTACTGAGTAAATTTGGTGTATATGTTTTAAAATCACCTGTGATAGTCTTCTGTTCTTCATAATTCTTCCGATAAACTTCGGGAACTAGCAAAAGTGCAGAGGATATCGCTTGGAATATAGTCAAACCTCCGATCCAAGAAACTCGATGAATTTTGTTTCCGTAGTATGCCACCACGAGCGCGAAAATTCCAATAAAGAATTCGTTTGTATAAATTAGCCAATCTGTAAGCTAGAGGTTTAGAAGTCTTATAGTGGAATTTTTAACTACGTACCGATATTTTCTTGTGATATATTGTAGTGTTTCCCCCACAGTTTAGCCGTTTCCCGGAAGTATGTTAACGTAACACCCTGGAGAAACCCGACTAGTGATAAAACACCCAGAAATACCTTTATTTCGGCAAATCTTTCTAAATTACAACATCTAGTAAGTATCGGTAAATTGCTGAGGCCACAGTCTAACTGGTATTCAGCACGTGGTGCTGAAAAAGTTCTCGTCTCATTTGAATTTGTTCGGAGTAATTCACTTGGATGCACCATTGTGTTCACCAACACGAAAACTAGGTGTAATAATATTACTCAGAGATAGTAAGAGATAAAGTTTTATCAAATGTTAGATATTGAGCAAACGCTTATTCTCGTTCACACAAGGTATGAATAACCTAATAATTTAAGATAATGACGAAACAGCATAGCTGCGTTTTCAGACGATGTAAATTAAAGGATGGGATTATTATCTTAGTGTTTACTTTTTCTAGATAACCCTCAAGTGGAAATGAAATCAACAAAATCCTTTTATCTCTAATTCTATCCTATCATAGGGTGCATCGCCGTCTCCCTCGCAGATAATAGGGGTGTGCGTCTCCATTTTCAGCAATATTAGGTTCCGTTAAGATACTGCATGTTATATTTTAAGGGTAAAGAATACGTTAAAACGCCGTTTTTATTGAAAGTGAACAGATTTTACTGTAAATGCAGCAAAAATCAATCTTTCTCTTGTGCTTTTAGAGACGACAGCTTTTAACAAAAGGAGGGTATTTGAGACGAAAGAGTTACATTATAATAATCGTCCGGAAGATAGGTCTTTCGATATACCCCTGATTGAAGGGTTAATTTTATTAGTAAAACTCAATTTGCCGAGATCTATCAGGTCTTTTATTTAGGAGTTTCCTGTTGCTTTGAAGTGATTATTAAAAATAAGCTGCTGATGAATAATATTTCAGCCAAGTATTTTATTCCCCGTAAAAGATCTTAGAAGCCGATTTCTGAGAAACTGCAATTCACTACAAATGAAACATTTTTAAAGACAGAAATAATATCTTTTCCTAATAAAAATACCTTTTAAGTTCAATTCTCCAATCCGTATTCTACAGCCAATTTGCGCACGAAACCTACTCTCATTTATTAGTTACAAAATTCTCGGAAAATTTACTTCGTTGCATTTTCCAGCAAGTAATTATCTTCGCTTTATGTCACAAACATCAGCAATTACACTTTATTGAGGTAAAATAGTAAATATAAAATCATGTATGTTATTGTGAATATGACAAATTTGGTAAACATCATATTTCTACTAATCTTTCTACTAACATTGCATTAATTACTGTTCTCGGAACTTTTAAAATTGCGGAAGCCCAAATTATTTACATTTATATGAAGTAAAACAAAAAATGGAAAAAAAAAATCAAAGTACAAAACTCATATCCGTGGAAATGTGAAAGCTTAGCCTTCTCCGATTTTTCGTTTTAGTGTAGTTTGGAAGTTTATGACATTAATAGGCCTCCAGATTTGACTGTATGTAACGCTATCTTGACCCAAAACTGGTTAACTTTTACATATCTTTTTATCTTTTTTTACACAACGTAAAAATTTCTTTCCATGCATACGAGGCAATTTGTATTCTAAAATTTAAGGCTGTCACTTTAATTTCAGCCAACCGTTAAAAACAACGCTCGGTTTAATTAATTCCATTAACGTAAAAGTAGCAGACGAATTTTCATGAGGTGAACTACAAAGATCTGAGCGATAAACTATGTCCCTTAGTTGCGTTTGTCCCCCGCTAAAAATTTTCCTGATTACAATTTGAATCATTTTTAAAAACGAAATCGTCACATGTGTAACATATTGATTAGTAGAGGTCAGCACTGTACACATCATCACGCTCCCGGCGCCCCAGCTAAAACAGTAACACGTCGTTAGATGGCGACATTTCCACCTTCAGTTTCTAAATCCCAAAAACACACATTTTTTTCTGATAATTTCTATGAGGGTAGTAATTAATATTACCCACATAATTACAACTTTCTCTAAAATGCGACGAGAAATTTCAGTCTCACTAAAATCCGTAACGATGAAAGATGTCACTCATTTTTAACACGTCGGTGAATAATTTTAGTGGTCGATGTGAGTATTAGTTCTATTTATAAAAAAAGACGATTAATTGGAGGACGTTTTTTTAGTGCCAATTTTAAAATTTGATCAAATGAATCAAAATCAGGGCCGAACATTTGGCCCGTTACTCGGATTATTTTTGGTAAATTTATTAGCGAAACTAGTGACTGCAAAATATTACTCCTATTTACCGTATCATTTTTCTTATGATCCCAGTCCTTGGTTGGCGTATAATAAACCTCTACCTAGTCACAATCATCACAGTTCGTACTCGCAATGGTACCCTATCAAAAATCCGTATGAACATTTGTATCAAGCTTATCCCACTTTAACGACAGCGTCTCCGTATCTTACCGGTGAGCACCAGGTAGATTACGATTATCGTGAAGAGTACGAGTACCCTATTAATGCTCAGTACGCCAATTACGACAGGCTGATTCCTGCTGAATCAAATAATATTCAAAAGCAGGTGACTCAGTACAAAAGAACAATCATTCCTCATAAGAAAGAACAAGAAGACATTCCTCTAAAATCACCCACAACCATTTCCCCAGTCATTATAGACAAACCAGAAACAACTACTACGGTTACAACAACCGTTGTACCTACGCTTACCACTACAACCGCCAGGACGCTTGAACCAGTAGCTGCCGAATCCAGTTTTAAGGTGCGAAGACAACCCACCCAAAAATACAAGAGGAGAAGTCCATCCAGACGGGATAAGTACCCTCAAAGACGCAGAAGAACTACCACTCCAGCACCAGAATACTACGACAGTTACGAAGACGATTATACAGAGAGATATCAACCAAACAGGAAACGAAGACCCCCATATCAACAATCCTCCGAGTCCTATTATGATGCTAATAATGAAGAGTACTACGACTATGAAACTACTACGAGGTACTACAAGAAACAAAAACGCCGACCTACTAGAAAAGTAAACAGGAATCAAAATCAAAATCGGAATGACGATTCATTTGAGATTGAGACGAGTACGGAAAGGTTTAACCCGAATACTGAAATCGTGATCGTGAGGCAAGCTATGCCCACTACTACTGCCGCCAGTACTACTACAAATGGGGGTAGTACTACTACTGAACCGACCACGATTATTACCAACACAACTAGTTCGTCTACGACGACGGCGAGCACGAATAATACGTATGGTAATATTGTGTGAACATTTGTGGAGGCCAGATTTGTAGTGTTTGTTGTAGGATATGGACCATCCAATGGAAACGAGCACGTGTCGTTTACTTATGGCCCCCCAGTAGGACCCTACAGCCACTATCAAGTACCCTACGTCGACTGGTACGCACATGAGGCCACAAAAAATGCAATAGTGAAAAGAGTTCGAGACATCGTTAACATTGACGAAAGATTAAACTTGAAATAAAAACACGAAAAACAAAATCTAAATGTAGGTGTTGGGAATTTTATATAGTAAATAAAGCTTTCTGTTTATAACACTCCTTGTGCTCCTAATTTCTTCTCGACAAAAAACGTTATTTAGAGATGTGTGGAAACCAAGGTATTATCTTTAGCGACAGATTTGTGCCAAGAATCGAAATTAATATAACTTGTGCCTACGCAGTCTTTTAAAAATCCAGTGCAATAACTTAATTTTTTAGACATTTACAGCTACGTCAAAGACATAAAACTAACTATATTTTACGCAACCGACTAAAAAATGCGGGGTAATTTATCAAACTAATGGTTCTAACATTATCTTATAGTTCGTTTTCGATTTAAAGTGTTTGGCACACAATGCGACCTACTAATGATTAAGCTGCGCGGTGGTACAAATTAAGGCGCTCTGTAATAATAACATAGTAACGTTTTGCGAATAAGAACCTAACGGGTTCACTCAACCGGGTTGATTTCACAAAAACAACCACAGATATGTCGCAAAAGTAATCAAATAGGTGCACTTTATTTTTATTAGTAACTATCTCCACTTTCACTTTTCGATGTAAGTGCCACCAGAATCTTGTTGTCATTTTGATTTGACTGCTACCGCCAGTGTTGAAATATATCAATAGTAGAAATAAGACACTATATAATCCGTATCCAGCTTCCTAGCTGGTCACCCATCCAAGTCCTGACTTAATAAATTTGAAAATATGGAAAAACAAAGTTTCGAGGCTTTATACCTGCTCGTGTTTTGTGCTGCTTAGGTTGACAAACTCTGAAAAATTTATAGCGCACAATTGGCTAAATGACAAATATTATTTTATTGGGCACTAAAGTCCGCACACAATTTCAAAAATCACAACTAATAAATGCTTAATAATACTAACCTATTAAAATGAAAATTACTATGTATAGGTAAAACCGGAAATCTCCAGTATGCAAAACTTTTGGGAAAAACATATGTAGAACCAAAGAATAATTAACACTTTACAAGGTTTTGATTTTATGTGCAGTGCAAAAATCTCTCAGTTGTTAACAACGAAAAACGGGGTGCATTAAAGGATAACTTAGGTGTACAACAACAATTAATCATCGATTGAATTATTTATGAACTAGCAAGGAAAAACAAAAAAACACATACTTTCGTAGATTTAAGAATATTTCTTCAATCCTTTCGTTGGTGGGGATGGGTTGCCAAATTTTGGTAGCGCTTTTTCGAAGATTATCTAATAAAAATCGACACAGACGACAGACAGCAGGCAGACAGACAGAAATGGAGTACCTATTTTTTCGTACTCTAGGGTCATGGAATGTCAAAAAATGTGAAAGTAGCCACTAGTTGAATATTAATAGTAGTAATAATAAAAATGTTAATAAAAACGGGTCGAATAACTTAAAAATCCTTGACGAATTACGTTTCGTTGTAAACAAGTTTTGTTACATACCGTAGAAATTCTTTAGACTTTTTGGTCTATTAATAGCTATATGTTTTATTACTTAAAAAAATAAACAACAATGCACAATTTTTGTTTAGTAAACTTTAAGATAAAGTGAATATTAAAAAGATTTCGAAAAGAAGTTAAACATAACAAGAACAAGAAGACGAAAAAATTACTATTAGTGATTATAAAGAGACCAGGACGAAAATAATTCATGAGAATGATAACAATAAGGTCGATAGTCGAAAAGGTACTTAAATGTTAATAAGAGAGCAATTAAATGTAGAGAACACGTGAATTCATTAGAAGAATGTGGCATAAAATACAGGACAGATAGAAGATTAGCATTAAATTGTTGGATTGGCTTTGTCCTTCATACTATATCCTCATAATGTTCTATGTTATCTATATATTTAATCGACTACAAAGCACGAAATGTTAAAACGGAAAAAAGTTCTACATTATTTCATTTATGGAGACTTTCGTTTATTGGTCATTATTAAACTGCCGTAACAACACATTTTCCGACTATACATAATGAAACTTTAATCCTCATTAATAATAGCCATCTTTAAACAATAGGACGTACCAAAATTACTTGAAAAATCTATACACATTACCACAATAACAAATAACTCAACTATAGAACAACATGTTATTTCTGACATAAACAAAGAAATATATGTTTATCCACCGAAGTAACAAAAATAGATTTAATTACAAATTGACAATAAATAACTGACGTTTTACAATATTGATGTTGTTTACGTGCTAAAACAATTTGGGTACATTTATAGACGTGCGTTTCAGCAGGGGTAAGCGCTAAAAACCGCCCACTTCTCCCCTAACTTTATGTTTTTTTCATGTAATGCGTGTGAAATGTAAGGGTCGGAACTTGATTGTTTCCGAAAACTATAGCCTGTTTCCTGAAGAGTTATTATCTTTATAAGGAAATTAAAAGCACACTTAACAAGCGCTTTAATTGCATTAACCACTTTCCGGGAAGGAGTCGTCAAATCTTAATGAATTTTTGTGGAATATTTTCCCTGTTTAACGTATTTACGAAAGTAAATAAACTATAGGCTTTTTCTGCGCGCTTTATCTGCTGCAATTACTCATGAATGTGTTTACTATCGGTACTAGATGACCTAGTTATAAATGCACCACTTCTATAAACGTAATTTACATATAGCTGAAACGTTTCTGTTTCATTTTACATTATTTCTAAAATGGGTTTCCGTCTGTCTGTCTGTCAGCTGTCTGTGTCGATTTTTGTTAGACAGATGATCTCGACCGATTGTTTCTTTGTCTAATCATCCCTACCAACAGTGTGATGACGCCATCTCAAAATTGTACATAGTAAATGGGTTTTAAATTGTATAAAATATCATTTTTACATCCGATCACTTTCGAATTCGCAAAATCGAATGTTTGCAAATTTTAAATATAAACACTTCAAGTTGTTATTATTGCTGAGAGGCCATTTTTACTTATTGAAAGTAAGTTAAAGATTGCATATTTTCTCGACCAATTTTTTTTTGTAACTAGAAAGCACGGTTTGGTCTTTAATCTTTCAAAATTGTGGAACATATTTAACGTCGGTTATTTCTTCGGAGTCAGTGTTCTTGTTGATTTTAGTGCAAGAACGTCGTTAAGCCGCATTGTGGACAATTAACGCTTGACGCTTGTAGTTCCAAAAAGTTATTTATACAGTTGCCGCATGAACACGCAAGTTCAATAAAGTGTAGCTAGGTAGAGCGAATCAAAATCTTAATTTGATCATCCTCGACTAGCAACAATCTCGGTTTATAAATCTGATGAACGTCCAACAGCTGGATCTATTAACCATGGTTTTACCAAAATAGAATTTGAGGCTCTTTTTATTCGGGAGATAATTAGAAACGAGAGAGTACATCTGCCTCCATATTCCGACGTCCCGACGCCGCTTGCGCTAAACACAATTCTTACTTCCTCCTCGACTCAAAATAACGCCATGAGCGTCATCTAAAATCACACCTTCTCCCTTTCAAAAAAAGGCGGTGGTGTTTATTTTGCGGGATTGAATCGATAAACGAAGGAGCATAACGTGAAAGTGATTTTTCATCGGTTACAAATTAAATTGGAATGAAAGTTGTAGAAGCTTTCGAACGAAGTGTGCAGGCGAGCTTAAGGGTTATTGCACTGAAGTGTGAAATACTGAAAGCAAAACAGCGTATAAATATTTCAGGGGCACCTCCTTAATAAACGCGCTGGATGATTAGATATGAAGCAATCCGTCTATCAACAGGGCGCTTCGATAAAGTATAGCAAAACATAACATTTTCTAAAAAATAAACAAATATAAAAGCTGTCTTGACACAATAAAAATATCATTCGAAGTACACGCTACTACCGTAAAATTTGCTGGCCGTATTAGAATACTTGTGGCCTTCTCAAAATAGCACTTAGCCGTTGCCGCTGAAAACTTTCCAAAAGTTACACATCATTCCACCAAGGACGCGTCTTCCGCGACTACGAAGTCATTCCTGTTGCGAAAGCAGACTCAACTGTAAAAATACATAACCAATGCAACTCCCTTCTGCTGCCTTCTTTACCAAGCGAGATTAAAAATTTCGCAACTCTGGTGGAAATGCGAACGCGTTTTGGCGAGCAAACCCCTTTTTCCTTATCTACAGATCATTAGTGTCGTAAATGCGCATCTTTGAACTAATTTGGCACATACGTATGTCTTTACAATAAAACAACTGAAGAAGCTTTGTCCGAAATTCGACGTAAATAACCACTTTTTTAGCTTAGCAACAGCACGGATGAATTTAAAAACCCTTTATCTAGCGCGATGGCAATACTAAAACGACTTGAAGAGGTTAACAACATTTTCGGGTAGCGTCAAAACAGAAATAGACTTTTCAAGCTGGAATACATTAACATGACTTTCAAAACAGATATATACTTGTCAAAGTCTGCTTGGCCAAGGTGACGTAATACGAAAATTTTCGTGTTTCATTTTAATGTAGGTGTTATGTACGTGTTTTGAAAGGTGCAGCAACTGTCTGGTGTTGATATTCACATTTGGCATATACGCAGACTTTATTTACTAACCTCAAAATTGCGAGGTCATTTTTCTATTATTTAACACTGCGGGTTTGTTAGAGATACAAAATCTGAGCCAAATTTTTCTGGCCTCCTCGTTTCTTTAATTAAATTAAACCGCCGAAAAGACAAAAGTAATCGCCGGGAGGACAACGCCACAAGTAGACTTCTTATTGTGACTTTATTATTTTTAAACTTTAGTCGAATGTCGAGTTCAATGCTCTATGTTATAGCGAATTTTAAGTGTCGTAACTACCGTTGTAAAATAGTAGTAAAAATGTAAAATCCTTTAGTCGGCCGTTGCTTGTTCACCTGAGGACGATAAGGCACGTGCGCAGGTATTAGTAGGGGTTCAGCACACGTGTTTTTACTTTACGATTGTTTCTGCGTCTGTATGGCTATTTAGAGTCGTTATAAAGTTATACATTCATATTGAATTCATGTTAAATCGATGTCGCTTAAAACAAGTCGCTCATAAAATGTT